CCCTAAGGCGACCCTACTGACTCTCCGCCTGCTGTTATTTTTTTCGGTACTGGGGTTTACGTCCCCAGCCTTCACTTTTTAAATTTTAAAACAGGGTCTTGCTGAGTTGCCCAGGCCGGGCTCGAACTTGAGGTACTCCCGCCGCAGCCTTCCAGAGTGCTGGATTCGGCTCCTCGGTTGAGCTGAGTTCACCCTGGGCCTGCGGCCGCTCTAGGTCTTGGGCTGCTCCTTGAGGACCGCGGGGCGCCTCTCCACCCTGTGCGACACATGCCGATTAATTCCACGTTTTACAGAAGACGAGAACGGAGAGGTTACATCGCCCGGAAGATGAACAACTAGGTCTTCTGAATCGATTTTTTTTTTCTCATTGCAAAGTCCAGACCGTTTCCCCTCTACACCAGGAACCCGGAGCGCCCTGTTCAGCGCAGAGTCAGAAAATGTTCAGTCCTAAACCAGACTTCTAGGGCCTGTGCTTCCCCTATCTCCTGCTAACTTGTCCCCTTTATGATTTTTTGGGGGGGTCTGAAATGGCATTTCAGAATATAAAAGAAAAACTTTAACAAATATTACAACACCCAACAATTAAATCTTGTATCATCTGGCAAAATGAGAAAAAAGCAGAACTTCAAAAATGTTTTCCATTCTTTTCAGAGAAAAAGCAGCAGCTCCAATGTTCTGTTCTTCACTCAACAGCCTGCAGGTGTCTTTTCTGGTTTCAGGATTCGAAGCTACACTTGACTCTTCAGATCTCTTTCCCTAAATTGTCCTGCAGGGACAGATGTGTTTTGGGCCAAACACAAGCAGATCAAAGAAGTAGGATGGACCACAGCAACACCCCCCTCACACACACCCCAAGAAGAGACAGTCTTCTGCAGTCCCTCCTGGTCTACACTTATCCCTTAAGTGTCTCTGACTTGTCAGATTCTCAGACTATTAGGTATCCAGGCTCTTTTAACACTATTAAAATTTAGTGAGGCTTTCAAAGAGACTCCGTATCTGTTGATACTCACTGTTTAGGAGTTAAAGCAAAATTCTTGAATATTTTTAAATTCTTTGAAAATAAAAAAAGCATTGCAAATTTATACTACTATTTTCTAAAGCAAATTTGTTAAGGTAGACATTGTTTTCTAACTTTGTAAGTCTCGTCAATGTCTGGCATAATGGAAGACAGTTATCTGCTCTGCGTGCAGTCTGTTGCAATATGTTGTTTTGAGTGAAGTATATGAAGAAAATTCAGTCACTCAAATACATAAATTGGCCACGGGAGGACCTCATGAACCCTCCCGAAATAGCCTCAGAGACAACACCGCCAAACAGGCCGAGCATTCCTCAGCTGAACTCCAAATGTTCCAAAACATTGAAAACTGAAGCTTAAAAAGTTTCAGATTTTAGATTAAGAATGTAACATTGAAGTACCCTTTCTAAGTCCAAAAAACTGAAACTCAGACATTTCCAGTCCAAGCATTTCGGAGAAGGGATACTCAACCTGTAAAACTTTGAAAATTGTTGTTCTAGATGTCTAACAAGACACCTTCCAAACCCACAAATTTGGTATGTCATGGGAAAAGAGCTAAATAGATTCAAGGGTATATTTCATGTTTATGCCGTATAATTCTAATTGAACATCAGACATTGGTAAGCAACCAGACACAGAATAGTTACCCATTTTTCACCTAGTCTATGTACCTGGCTACCTGGGTGGTTATAACAAATACTTCATGTGAGGAAGAGCTTTACTGAAACTGTATCTATACGATAGTTTGTACTCATAACAGTTCCATTGCAGGTGCATGGCTAATTTTGTTTGAACAGTGTACTGACCTGTACCATCTGAAGGATAAATCCTGCTCCTGGGGCCCATCTGATTCTTAATCTGATCCCCTTGATCTGTATTTGGCCTTCACAAGAATCTTGTACCTTCTGAGATTGTATGCAGATTTTGTGTTCATGTACCTCTAACAGGGAGAAGATCATTTTCAACCGATCCTTGAAGAACTGGGTTGACAATTTAGAAATTTTAAAGAAAATTTTAATAAGACCACTCTTTGAATTTTGTCTTAGTTCTTTTCTGCACTGCCCTCAAACTTCTGAAGAACATGTAATTGGGGTTAGAGAAGTACACAGACTGCTTCTTTCTCCTTGACAGATTTTGAAAAGGACCACAATCATCCATTTCATAGAGACATGGCCCTAAATGATCAAAATCCTTTTGTTTGATTTTAAACTTCCATTTCTGCCTTGTTTACAGTCACATAGAGTGATTTAGTTTTCACCCTTGTCACCAATAAATGCTCATCCCAGCCCAGTGTTGACCCAGCCCCATTTAGTAGCATTGGAGCCTCTCACCAATGTGGTGAGGTTAGACAGGGTCTGAGCCTCCCGCTCCAAGCATCATCTTTTATTGGCAAGAAAATTGATGATGCTTGATTTTCCCCTTGGCACACTTCCAAACAGGGGTAAACCTTTCAACTCCCCCTCAAATGCATATTATTTTCAAAAGAAAAAGAAAAACAATCTTGAAGAACACATATAAATCACAAAAGGAAAGAAAAATATTTAAGGGTTGCAGTCAAATTAATGAGATCTCTTTACAAGCAAACAGCAATTTCCATTGGGGTTGAATGATATCGGATAGCAAATGAGATCCGTCAATCCAGGCAACTTCTATGCCAGTTTCCTAGCACATTTACTGTGATTATTATTTATTGTGTTCTGTGCACTGATAGCGTGCCCAGCTGTGTAGCAGGTAGTCGATGACATAATCCTAGCTCTAAATTAAACAGTTCAAAACAATACAGACTTAGTTTTCTTAATTGTAAAACCAGAGCATGTATGAACTTTAATAACATGCGTGTCTTGCAGAAATATGACATAATTTCCCTCACCAAGAAAAAGAAGTGGAGAACCAACTGAAGGCATTGGTAGGTATAAGGAAATGTTCTGAGGCTTGTTAGTATTGTTTTAGTGTGAATTTCAAACTGTGTATCTTTATGCTTAAGTCCTTCTCTGAAGGATTGAAGAGATGAACCCAAAATGCTTGTACAGTGGACTCATCCTGAGTCCCTGTGTGCCATTAGCACTGAACTTGACAACTGTGATGGTTGGTTATTGGGAAATAGTGGTAATTTAAGTTATATAACTTGTTCATGTGTACTCTGCCCAAATCCAAAAAGAATTTGAAATTCTCCAGGGTATTTGGCAAATACAGGGTACTACAGTGGATAAAGGCCTAGGCAGAGCTGAGGAATTTAACAGGGCTGGTTTTGATCTGGGAGGTTGACCTTGGTAAAGAACCCAACTACTTGCATTTCATACTCTGTTTTGTCAAGTGGAGGAAATGAGGCATTCGTTCCATGTGTGCAATGAAGTAGCAATGATCGCCGACATATGCTGAGTGCCTATGCTATGCTATGTATTTAATCCCCAAATGATCCTATAATGTTAATACTATCATTGGTCTTATGTTTCAAAGAAACAGGCAGACAGAGAGGTCAGTGACTCTGCTGAGTCACTCAGATTGGAAGCGTCTGGCATTTAAACTCAGGCACTCACACTCAGTCATTCTGCCATGCTGTGCGCAAAGCACTTAGTATGTGCTCAAAAAAATGGTAGCCACTGCTGTCAGAGCTGTAAGTGACAAGAACAAAACAGCCCTTCTCCTGTAATGTCATATAATTTAAAATAAAATCTATGCTTACTATTTTCTGCCTTTTGTTTCCTGGAAGTAACCAATATTACTTCCTATTCTGTTAAATTGACATGTGTTTTCTGTTAGATTTATTTTAAAAAACAAACATCATTTTTTAAAGTTTCATTTCTTTGAATTTTAGAAAACAGCATTGATAAGATAAAGCATGAGTCTGACTTTTTGTTGCTTGTTCTAATTTTTTCCCAGTGACCCTGGAGTCATTATAGTTTCCTTTGAAGATCAAAGAACCTCAGGTTGCTTATTGCCCTAATCTTCAGAAAAGATCTATGAGAGAATTTTCTGATCTCAAAAAGAAGACATCAAATCATATGAAACTGCTCAGTTACCAGGCCATGAAAACCAAGGTCAGTTCTATTGAAGAATAGATTACT